GGTGGGAGAAGTGGGCGGGTGGGAGGAGCCCGAGATGGGAGGGGCGGGAGCTAGAGCAGGACGCTCCTCCTGGGCTACTACCTGCGGCAGGTGTGAGGGGATCCTGAGGGCTCAGGTGACTACAGGGCGTGAGGGCAGAGTGTGGAGGCTGAGCCTCACCATTTAACCCCACCGTTCGCTCTCCCTGGCAGGTTCTTCCAGGTAGTGTGTGGTGACAGGGTGGTATAAGTTCTCCCATCAGCTACTTTCCGGCCAGGCGCCTCCCTTTGGGGCCCACCCCTCCCAGGCAGCGGGGGGCAGTTTCTCCTCAGGCCTTTCAGATTCACCAGAAAGAGGACCCAGTGTGTCTGAGGCCCAGCTCAGCCCAGGTTGGCCCTTGGACAGGGATGCCTCCCCCATTGTCCATTCCGACTCTAGTTACCTTCCCCTGTGCCCTTTGAGTCACCCATGGTAGCTGTATGCCTGCTGCCGGCGTCAGTCCTGGGCCTGGGGGGCAGCTCAGGGGATCTGGGTCCCTGAGGGAGGCCAGATGACCTGCCTGGTCCAGAGTGGTGGGGGCCATGTGACAGCAGCCCAGCTCAGGCCTGTGCGGCCCCGGGGCGGAGGGCAGGTGGGTCGGCCCCCAGCCAGGGGTAGAGCTGCAGTGGCGCCTGTTTACGAGCCAGCTTGTCAGGCTCAACCCCTACACCCCAGGGGCAGGAGAGCCACCCGTGTGCCCAAGCGCCTGGGTGTGGACGTGCATGTACACGTGTGTGGCTGTGTGTCTGTGCGTGTGGGTAGGTGTACCCGAGTGCCGGCGTACTTGTCTACATGGCAGGACTGGCAAGTAGGTGTGTGTGCACAGTGTATCTGCAGAGTATGGAGAGAAATGGAGGGAAGGGTCTTGACTTAGAGCCTCTGAGTGCCAGGCACTCATCTCCTCTGACCCAGAGTCCTGTGAAAGTCCTAGTCCCCTTTCCAGATGAGGACAGAGAGGGTCAGTGACTCCTTCAAGGTTACAGTGGAAGAGCTGGCATGTGGACGCATGGCTGCTGGAACCTAGAGCCCCTGCCCCCAGGAGGGCACCAGGCTGGCCTGGATCTTCATGAGTGCACGGGAGGCAGGGGCTGGAGAGGGCAGCCCAGTGCAGACAGCAGACCGTGGGAAAGCTTGCTCCGGACCTCCCAGCCCCATATCCACCTCCCCATCCCAGTGGGCATGAGGCCTACCTTCCAGGGCAAGCAGCGAGTCATAGAGCTTGCACTGCACCTGACCGGTGCTCTGGGAGGCGCAGGACATCCAGAGCCCTTCGTAGAGGCCCACGGCGGTGATGATGGCATCGCCTGCGTAGGAGGACTGCTTCCACTGCGGGAGCGCTGTGCTGGCAATGATGCCCACCCAGCCACCCAGGGCCAGGAAGTAGCCCAGGAGCTGAAGACCTGAGTTGGCCATGGCCCAGGGGAGGGGATAGGGGTTCCAGGGCTCAGGGCTGGGCCAGGGTCCCTGGGGGGGCCGAGGTCATGGCCAGGTGACAGGAGCAGCTGGGTTGGGCGTGGGGTGCAGCAAGTGGTCAGAGGCTGAGAAGGAGAGGTGACAGCCCTGCAGTGGCAGCAGCAAAGGCAGTGGCTTCAGGCTCCAGAATGCTGGGGGAGGCCTGAGCTGGAAAGGCCAGGGGCCCGCCCACAGCCGCCACCTAAGCCAGGGCAAGGTCCCCAGCAAAGCTCCTGCCCAGCCCCCGGGGGGTGGGGGGTGGGGCGTGGCCAAGGTGGTGCCCCTCCCCAGGGATGGAGAAGGGAGGGGCTGGGAGGAGTGACCCCCGGCTGGCTCTCAGGGCCTTTCCCCTAGGGAAACCCCTTTAGGGGCCTGATAAGAGTGCCCTAAAATTCTCCTAATTCCTATCCCAAACACCAGCACTGAGATGATGGACTTTGCCCTTGCACTGCTGATGTGACCCTTGGGGTTTTCTGTCCTCTGACCGCAGGACAGAAAGAAAATGGAATTCCAGTTTGCAGGAGGTAAGACTAGGGTTAGACACTGGGGAGAACTTTTTGGAGCGGGTTCTGAGGTCAGCTATGGAGAGACTGGGTTGGGGAGGGTGTTGGGGAGTGGGGGTCCTTGGTACCTGGGGCCCATGTGTATCAGAAACAGCAGAGGCCAGACTCAGCGTGGGATCTGTTTGAGATCTGAGGGGGGCAGAAGAAGGACCCCATGAAGGCTGGGACAGGGCTGGCCACCAGCCAGCAAGGAGCCTGGCAGGGAGGTGGGAGACAGCACCAACCTTCTGGGATCAGCCTGAAGGAAGGCAGACTGTTCAGCCCCTTTAATCCCCTTGCTGGCTGGCTTAGCAGCTCCTGCTGGGGCCTGAGGCACAGGCCCCTGAGCCCCCAGCTCCAGAACAGCCTGGGGGGGGGGCAGCGGCCTCTGCACATTCCCGGGGTTCAGGCTGCCCCCTCCGAGCGCCCCACCTCCCCTCCTCTCTCCCGTCCCAGCTCAGCCCCCTGCAGCAGGGGAATGTTTAACTCTCCTCGACCTCATTAGCAATCCCCTCACGTTCAGTTCGGCTCGCCAGGCGTGGGTACAGGGGAATGTCACAACCTCGCTCCCGCCAGCCCCCCGGCGCCCCCTCCAACCCCAGCAGCCCACGCGCCCTTTGCCGGACTGCACTGGGGGAAGGCAGGGTCCCGCCGCAGACCCTGGCCTCCTTGCACCCCCGACCCAGACCCCCTCCGCAGGGACAGCCCCGCCCGCTCCCTCCCTCGCATTCTTCACGTGGCTATGCAAACGAGAGGGTGCCCGGCGCTGCAGACAATGCTGCCCTGTGCGCCCGCCCGCGCGTGGGCCCTGGTATGGCCCGCGGCCCCGCGGCGGCCAGCGGGGGGAGGGGCCTGCCCTCGAGGGGGTTCCCGACACTGCGCCCCTTCCCTTCCCACCCTCCTCACCCCGGCCCTCCGTGCTGGGAAGGCCGAGCCACGTGGATCTGTGCACACGCAGACCTGCTTCCTGGGGCGGCCTGCGCGTCCCCCAAAGCTAGCGGGGCCTGGATCCGTGGTACAGAAGCCAGTCCCGAATTCCGATTCCTCTACCACGGACGGTGAGAGACTGTGCGATGGGGATGAGCAGAGCACACAGCCGGAGCCCAGAGTGGAGACTCTCCGGGGCCGCAGGGAGCTCCATTTCTACGCGTTTAACCGTCTAATCCTCAAGGCAGCCCCCTCACGATGGGCGTCCCTCCACGGATAAGGAGCCGAGGCTGAGAGAGGTGACCTACCCCAAGCTAGGAAGCCAGGGGCTGGGGGGCTTTCCTATCAGATCTGTCCACCCCACACCCCGCCTTTCTCAGGAACGCTGGGAGGGGCGAGGCTGAACTGGCTGTGGAGCCTTGTCCCACCTCTAAAGGGCATGTCGGCTTCGCGGAATCACAAGGGAGCTGCCCAATGTCTGAGAGAGTGTGAGGTGCGCGCATGGGGCCGGCGCGCAGCACAGTGATTCCCGGAGGCCGGGTGTCCCTCTCCCAGCCTTCTGCAGGGCTCTCTCTGTAAGGAGGATACAGGGGTCATTCCGGTCCTGAGGAGCACCTGAGTCAGGTGTCTGAGCCTCGGGATCTTCAAGGCCACAGCAGAAACAGAGTGTCAGAGCCACACAGCCCTGGAGACCGGAGACTGCAAGCCCCTCCGTTGACAAATGAAGAGCTGAGAGCCAAAGAGGGGAAGCTAGCCTCTTAGGGTCACACAGCTGCCCCCAGGGCCTGCTCACTCCTCCACCCAGGGCACCCCCAGAGCCCTCCCCCACACCGAGGACCCGAGCCACTTTATGACCCAGAATGAGGCTCACATCTCCCTCGGAAGTGCTTCCTTTTAAAAAAAAAAAATTTTTTTTATTGGAGTGTAGTTGATTTACAATGTTGTGTTAGTTTCAGGTGTACAGCAAAGTGAATCTGTGATACAGAAGCTCTTCTGTTTATCCCTTGTGTTATTTGAGGTCTTGAGTCCATTCTACCAAAACATCCCCTCCTACCCTGATGGCCTTCCCTCACCAATGTTCCAAAGCCCTTTGGAATTCAGATCCCGCACCTGGAGTAGAGTTCCCTAACCCTGTGTAGCTTCTCCATCAGGACTCCTACCACCCCAGTGCCCCCCTGCAGTCCAGCGACTCCCAGGCATGCGGGGAGAGCAGGAAGGCTCAGGACCCACCCCAGCCTCCGTTAAGAGCTAACTAGAAACCGCCCTGGGGTGTCACGCTTCACTGTTTAAAAGGCGCTTTCAATTACATTACGAGAAGCTTGGGGTTCTAGCTTTACGTCTGCCACCGAAAAGCTGTGTGATGCTAGGCAAGTCCCTTAGCTTCTCTGGCCCTGGTTCCCAAACTGACAAATAGGGATAATAGCATTCATCTGTCTGGGTCATGAGGGAGTTCACAAGAATCGAGATGGGCGAGAAGTGCTTTTGGAAAACATAATGTGCCTGAAGGAATGTGGCTAATGAAAGCTCCGTTCCAAAAAGACTGCCTCCTGGCCCGTCTCCCCCTTGGTCCCTCACCCTGGGTGCGCGCGACTGCTGGTGGCTGACGACCCGCTGCCCCTTCCTGCCTGGCAGTGCCCGGCAGGGAGGGTGCTTTGTAGATAGATGTGTGCTGACCACCGACTGATGGGTACGAGGATGAACTGTTTCTGCCTCCCTCCCAGTGAAACCCTGGAGCGCCCTCCCTGGTCCTTGCCCACTGCCAGTCAGGGGTCCGACTCGGTTGGTTGCCGTCCAGCACATTCTCTGCAGCCACCACCTGAAACGTTGGAGGCTCAGGAGGTGGTGCTGGTCAAACTCCCCCCAACTCTGAGTCTGACTTTCCTGTGGAATCCCAGGCTCGGAATGGAGAGGACTTGTCCAGGTGGCACAGCTAGAAAGCAGTGCAGCCAGCAGTGTGGCCACCCAGTGCCCTGCCTACCCCGGCAGGGTCAGGTGCTCTGATCTGGGACCTGTAATGCTCTTTGCATATTTCCTTTCACAGCACTTGGTGCGCTGTTCGTTTGCCTCCTTCTTGAGGACTGAAAGCATCTCTCAGCCCTACCACTGGTCCCATTTTTGTGTCCCACGCCTAACCCAGGGTGAGGGCATCTCTGCAGCACATGTGGCTGTCTGGTAGTGCCTTCTTCTCTTCCCCAAACAACCCTGAGCACTGGCTCTGTTTGGCACCCCTGCTGAGAGCTCTGCCAGCTGCCTGGGGTGCCAGAGATGGACGTCTTCCATGTCCACATCTCCCCCGAGTCTGCTGAGTTGCCTCCCGTCCCCTCTAATGCTCCCATGGCTGCTCTCCCTTCACCTCAAGCAGACTTCCCCAGGGCTGACCTGCTCATGCCTGTGTTTTACAAACGGGCCAAGCAATCACAGCATCTCAGCCCGGACCCCGCCATCACCTCTGGCTGCTGGGAGGACTCACCCACCATAATTATATTCACTTATCCCAGTTCTGTTGCCCTTGAAAATGTTTGGCCTTTCATGAGCTAAACTGAGATAGTCTGCTGTCTCTCTGTGTTTAGCATACTTTGAAACTGTGAAGGTCACCTGCCTTGATGTGGAAACTTCTGGAAGACCAGACTCAGGCTGATGGAGCTTTCTGTAATGTTGAGTATCTCCTGTGTGCTAAGCATTGTGCCAGGCTCTCTCTGAGTATTCCCTCATTGATACTCTCAGCCATCCTGGGAGGAAAGGACTGTAATCTCATGTTACTGGTGAGGAAACACACTCAGAGGTCACACAACGGGAAGTGGTGGAAGTGAGTCTGGCCCAGCTCAGCACGTGGGTGAAGCTCGTGCTCTTTCTATTAACGTGGTCCTCTCTTCATACGGTGAGTGGGTCATCCAAACAGGACACGGGATCACCAACGACTAAAGGAATCGTGACTGTCCCTATGGGATCATTCCCATGAGCATACTGACTCCCAGCTTAAAAAAACAACTGTTCCTTCACTTCACATCTCCCTCCAGCTCATCCTGCCCCCCACGGAGAGCCAAACTCCTGAGAAGAGTTGTCTATACCCACCAGCACCACTCATTCTCCTCCCCTTCTCACTTGAACTCACTCCAGTCTTTCGTCGACCGGAACATCTCTTGCCAAAGTTCTCCCTGATCTCCGTGTCACCAAATCCAAAAGATGGTTCTCAGTTCCTATCTTGCTCAACCTCTCAGCAGCCTTAGACACCGCTGCTCATCCCCTCCTTCCTGAAACCGTCTCATCGGCTTCCAGGACTAGGCCTCTTGGTTCCCCTGCTCACGGCTGGTCCTCGTGTCCTCTGTTGGACCCCACTGCCTCCAGAGCCCCAGTTGCCTGCAGCCCGGCCCAGTCTTCTGACTCTTCCTCTGTCTACACTGACCTTAGTCTCCTGGCTTTGAACGCCCCCCAAGTGCTGATGGGAACCCCCAAAGTCCTGGCTCCTACCTCCACCTCTCCCTGAACTCAGAA